ATTGTTTGTGGAAAAAATGGTCCTTTCTCCATTGAATAGTTTTGACATTCTTGTCAAAGGATGCCAAATATGTAAGGGTTTATTTCTGGGCTCACTATTATATTCCATTGTTCTGTATGTCTGTCCTTATGCCAGTAGTAACTGTTTTGTTTACTGTAGCTTTGTAGTAAGTTTTCAAATTATGAAGTGAGTTCTCCAACTTTGTTCTTTTTCAGGATTGTTTTGGCTCTTTTGAGTCCCTTGATATTCCATGTGAATTTCAAGATAGGTTGTTCTATTCCTGCAAAAGAGAATCTATTGGGATTTTTGTAGGGATTGCATTGAATCTTTAGATTGCTTTAGATAGTATTGTCATTTTAGCAATATTAAATCTTCCAATCCATGAACACAAGTTATCTTTCTACTTATTTATGTCTTAAATATTTTTCAGCAATACTTTATAGTTTTCAACGTACAATTATTTTGCCTCCTTGGTTAAATTCATTCCCAAGTATTTTATTTTTTATGCTATGAAATTGTTTTATTCATTTCCTTTTTGGATTTTTCATTGTTAGTGTACGGAAATTCAACTGATATTTGTTGATTTTTGTATCTTTCAACTTGGCTGAATTAATTTATTAACTCTAGCAGTTTTCTTGTGGATCTTTAGAATTTTCTATTTTAAAAATTATGTTGTCTGAAAGTGGGCGCTCTTGTCTTATATCTGATCTTAGGGGAAAGTTTCAGTCTTTTTACCATTGAGGGTAATGTTAGCTGTGAGTTTTTAATTCCCTTTGTCGTGTTGAGGATATTTCTTTCTATTCCTAGTTTATTAAGTATTTTTTATCATGAAAGGGTGTTGAATATTGTAAAATGCCTTTTACGCATCAGTTGAGATGATCATGTGTTTTTTTTCCTTCATCTTATTAATGTATTACTAATGTATTACATAGTTTGTTTTTTGTATATTGAACCATCCTTGCACTTCAGGAATAAAACTCACTTGGTCTTGGTGTATAATCCTTTTACTATGCTGCTGAATTCACTTTGCTAGTATTTTGTTGAGAATTTTTGTATCTATATATTCATAAGAAATATTGGTATGTAGTTTTCTTGTAGTTTCTTTTCTGGCTTTGGTATCAGGGTGGTGCTGGCCTCATGGAATCAGTTAGGAACTATTCCCACCTCTTCAATATTTTGGAAGAGTTTCAGCATGATTAGTTTTAAATCCTCCTTGAATGTTTGATGGAATTTACCAGTTAAGCCATCTTCTCCTAGGCTTTTCTTTACTGAGAGATTTTTTTTATTACTGACTTAGTCTCCTTACTAGTTATAGGTCTATTCAGATTTTCTTTTTCTTTGTGATTCATTTTGATAGATGTACATTTCTAGGAATTTGTCTATTTCATCTAGGTTATGCAATTGGTTGATATATAAATGTTCATAGCATTCTCTTATTATCTTTTTTATTTTTATAAAATTGGTAGTGATATCCCCACTTATATTTCTGATTTCAGTACTTTGAGTCTTCTCTCTTTTGTACTCAGTTTAAGCTAAATGTGTGTCAATTTAGTTGATCTTTTCAAAAAATCAACTTTGGTTTTGATGACTTTTTCCTGTTTTGTTTTTGTCTTTTTCTCTACTCTATTGTATTTATCTCCACTAAGCGTTATTGTTTCTTTCCTTCTACTGGCTATGGGTTAGTTTATTCTTCTTTTCCTAGTTCCTTAAAATATAAAGTTAGGTTATCGATTTGAGATCTTTCTTCTTTTTTAATGTATGCATTGTAGCAATAAATTTCCTACTTAGCACTTCTTTCTCTGCATCCTGTAAGTTTTGGTATATTGTGTCTCTTTTTACTTGTCTCAAGTATTTTCTAATAAAGCATGCAGATTCTTTACTCAGCCATGTTTAATTCTGCACTTAATTTGCAGTGTTTTTGACTTCTAGCATATTCTTTGGATTTCTTTCTTGGAATTCTTCCTGTCAGCTATATTACCACTTGTTCTTGCATTTTGTCTACTCTTTTCACTAGAACTCTTAACATATTAATCAATCTTATTTTATAATCTTTATGTAATAATTCCAATGTCTGTGACTGGTTCTGGCAATAGCTTTGTCCCTCAGACATTGTTTCCTCTTGCCTTTAACAGACTTTATAATTTTTTGTTGAAAGCCAGACATTGTATAGGGTAATAGGTACTGAGGTAAATAGTCTTTTAGTGTGAGGATTTATGTTAATCTGGTTAAGAGTTGGGCTGCTTTAATATTTCTTATAACTATAGGCACCAGAGGCTTCATATTACTGTAGTGGGCTTACTTTTTCCTCCCTCCTTTTCTTTGTGGCTTCCTTTTGTTCTGATCTTTAGAGAGAGTCTTTGTCTTGTAGCTCTTTTAGTTTTAATCCACAGTTCTTATTACTGGAGGCTTATTAGTGTGGTGATGGGGTTAGTTGGGAGGGAGAGAATGTGTCCTTATCTTCTAAGCTTCTAATTAGTCTCAGTCTTTTGTGGGCCTGTGCCCCCAGGGTGGGGTTAAGCCTTCCAAAACCCTAGTCCCTTCTGGCCCACCATTTCCAGTTTTGTATTTTGGAGTCCTTTTCTTGCTAACTGTCCTTTTCTTTTTATCTTTCTTTCTATCTATATTTCTTTTTCTTAAGTGAGACAGGAAGGCTGGAGATGACTGGGGTCGGGTGGAATGCCTTCCTTCAGCTTGGAAAAGGCTTCAGAATAGCCCCCTGGGGAAGCCCCTCCTCTTTACATAGGCCTGTTAGGGAGAAGGTTATGGAGGGTTTCACAATGGCTACTCTTCTTTCTTTGCCCAGCCCATGAGGGGGTCTTTTGTCCTCGCCCTGAAAACACAGTGTGGCTCCTGGAGGAAAGCCATGAAACTGTGGGCTCCCTTTTACTGCCCAGCCCCTTATAGCTTCTTATTCAGCCTACAGCCACTTGTCAAAACTACTCCTGAACAGTTCCTACCAGTTCTTTGGCATCTTGCACCAGGTCTTGGTTGCCTCATTTCTCTGGATGCCCCTTTGCCTCCAGGCTTTAGAGGAGTTATTTGCTCTGTGACCTCAGTTCTCTGATGAGTCAAGGAAAGTCATGGATTTTCAGGTTGTCCACATTTTTCTTGTTGTAAGGATGGGAATGACAACTTCTAAGGCCTTATACATAATAACAAAAGAACCCACCTCTCCCCTTCCAAAGATGTGGTGTGTAGTATGTTTGTATGAGCATGGAGCCCAGGCCATTAACATCAGGCCCTTAAGGTAGGTGGGCATTGGGGTGGAGACATAGAAGCAGGATGCAGTGTTCATTTTAAAAAATACATCTGTTCCTTGTTAAATTTCACTTTTATAGTTTTGAAGAGGACTTTCAGAGAGAACATTTAGGAGAAAAAGGAGTGAGTGCAGCACTGTTTGTAACAGCAAAAATGGGAAATAACTTGACTATCCATCAACAGGAGAGTGTTTAAATTACTTGCCACCTACAGGAGACTGCTGTGCAGCTTTCAAGAGAATGGAGAACCTGCGTGCTCCTGGTGCCTGCTAAACTCAAGGAAGACATCTCTAATATGGTGTGCAGTAAGAAAAAATGTTCAAGTCCATGTGTGTTTATGTCATGGGCAGAGAAAGGGTCTGAGGACACATCCAATGTTCAAGAAGGACAGGGAAGACGAGGCTCTGCACTTGGCATTGTTTGAATTGGTTGTAGTAAGTAGGTATTAATTTTGATTAAAAACAGGGGGTAATGGAGGAATTGGAGGAGACTCACTTTTCATCGTTCTCCCTTCTGTGTCATTTGAGTTTTGTATTCTGTATATTTGTCCCCATTTCATAAAAATAAATAAATAAATCAGCAAGCAAACAAATAAATAAACTGAAGGGCCAGGAAAGGTAAGAAGCACCCCCAATGTAGTTGGCAGGCACTTCCTCAACCTGTGCTGGCCTTCACCTCCTTCTTCTTTCCAGCACCTTCTCCTGCTCTCTTCCCTGCCCGCCTGGTCCACCCTGGCCACCCTGCTGTAGGGCCCAGGCCTCCCCCAGCTGGGATGCTGCCTGGGTACCTTCCTATTTTCTAACTCAACCTCAGAAGGTTGGAAGGGCAGAAACACAGTGCACAGGCTCCAGGGTGAACCCCAGCTCCCCTACCACTGTGTGACCCTGGGACATCTGTGAGCTGGGGACAACTGGACCTACTTCTCAGGATTTTACTTTACATGGGAAAAATCTATAACCTCTACAGCCACGTGTGAATGAGAGGGCTGGAAATGGACCAGAGTTATGAAAATGCCCCAAGCAGGTCTCTTCCACACCCATCACTGGGTTAGGCACCTGTCGCAGGAGCTGGACCCTGAAGTTCCCCTCTTCCTCCCAGTGCATCACCTCGAGGACATCCTTGAGGACTGTGAAGCCCAGTCAGAATGGCATTGCCTGGACACATCTTGCTGGGGAGGGCAGCCAGAGGGGTGGGGTGCAGAAAGAGAGATGGACTGAGGGACACTTGACTCAGTGCACACAAGAGGAAGATCACACAGCCTCTTTCACTCTCCCAGCAGGGCGCCTAGCACACCACTGCTGGGAAGGCTCCCCAGATTGCTGAGTGAGAATCTCTGCAGTGCCGGGATTGCCTAAAATGCTCCCCAGATTGAGAGCCACTGGGCAATATTTCCTCCCAGTAGGCATGGTCCTAAGTCCTTGTTTCTGCTGCCCTGCTGTTGGGTCACCGTGCACCTGCTTCACCATGGACTCTGAGTCCTGGGTCCCCTTTGGTACTGCCCTCCTGACTCCAGGCCTCTCCTGACCTGGACCACTTTGGTTCCTGCCCTTCCCAGTGCTCTTGGACCGGGCTGGTTCTTCCACATCTCCAGAAGTCACTGTGTCACATCAAGGAAGTCTCCATCAGAACTTCTGCCAGATTAAACCCAACTGTGCTGCTCTCTAGACACAAGGCCCACTGGCAACAAGAAATCAGAAAACCATGTACAACCTTTTGATATTTCATTCTTGTAACAGTATTTACCGAGCACTTGCTCTGCTCAGGTGCCGTACAAAGTAACGGAGACGCACTCCTGGAACCCAGACACCTATGCCCTGAAAGAAGGGAGGACGGGAAGCTTCGAGAGGGGTGTTCATGGCAGGAGCCTACCAAGAGCTGGGCCCTAGGAGTCAGGGTTCGGCTCCAACACCATCAGTCCCACACACTGCCCGAGTGTGTCATGGGCAAGCCACATCCGCACCCTGGCCTTAGCTTCCATGTCAGAAACCAGGAGAGCAGCTGCATTCCTGTTGCTGCAGGGATGCAATGAGCTACTCCACATGTCACCTGCTCACATCTGGGCCCAGTAACACTGTCGTGATCACTTGTGACAGTCCTGGGAGGAAGGGTCAAGTGTGGCTTCCCAGAAAGGCTGGCCCTGACCTTCCTTGTGTCCTGTCTCGATGGGCCTGGTCAGGAGCCCTGTCATGCCCTTTTGAACCTCCCGTGTGCTGCATGCATCCTCCACACAGTGAGCCCCAGGAAGCAGTTGTTAATGAGGGCCGTGGAGCGTGTTCTAGCCTGAAACAAAGCCTCAGACAATCAGGAGAGGCCTCAGCCTGTGGTCAGCTTGCCAGACTGCATCCCTCCATCTGGAATTCCTCCCTCATCACTGGGCCTGCCCCCTTTCTAGGCTGGCCTCTCTTCTAGAAAAAGCTTCATAGCTGTCTGTGGCATACTCCGCCCCCCACGCACCCCCCACCCCTGCCTGGCACCTCACCACAACAGGGCAGCTGAGGCAGGATCTAATCGTAGGGAACCCTGGCAAGGGGCTGGCTGCTGGCCTGCTGCCCTGAGGCTGGCCAAAGAGACACCTGCCCTTCCTGAGGTGCGAGCCACCTTTCCCTCTGTGATTCTGAATGTCTGGTGCTATGCACATGTTGTGGCTTTCGAGGGGTTGGGGGATACAGTCTCATTCAAAGGTGAGCATTCCTGAAGCGGGAGGCTAGAATGCTTGGCAGCATGGAGGGCAAGAATGGCAGTGTGGAGAATCAGTCAGCTCCTTCCCCAAGAGTATCTTGCCACCTGTAGCTCAGTTAGAGAATGCAAGCTGGGGGAAATTATTGTTTGGATGGGATGCTTTGTGACAGAGAACACCCATAGGCCAGAGTCTGCAGGGTCTGGCCAGCCCTGGCAAGGTTGCACAGGAATGCATGGCATCTGCTGGTCCAAGGCTCTTGCTGAGATGGCTGGTTCTGCTTCTGATTCCCTCAGAGAAGCCCTTCAGTGTCCCGAAGGTTGTGGCTGCTCATCCTGGGGGTGGAGAGCAGGCTGGGGTGGGGCAAGTGGGCACTCCCAAGCTCATCTGCAACCCCCTACCCCTGTCTCAAGCTCCTACCCCTGAGCCTCAGATCCCCCACTCACATTTATTACTCTCAACCCTTGTGCAGAGTTATCAGCACAATATGCACCCTTTATAATATGTACCATTTCCATCCCATCAGTTTCAAATCCGAGCTCCTCTCTCTGACATGCTGTATGAGGAGTGGCCAAATGTGGCTACTTCACACCTGGGTTTAGACGCTTCATCTTTTGGTGGGGAAATTGGTGAGGCACATTTTGAGAGCACTGGAAGCTTTGCAATTGGCCTTGGCCTTGGGCTGCCCGGGACCTGTTCTGGCTGAGCTGGTGGTTTCAGCTATGGATGCCTCCATGTTAAAATGCCCCACCCCACCGAGTCCTACCACCCCCTCCCCCCCAATACAGTCCTCACATCAGGGACAAAGGGTGGAGATTTGGGTCTTAGGCTCTCCTGAGTGTGACCACAAAGACACAAGACTGTTCCAAAGGTGGGTCTCAGCCATGCTGGCCTGGGAGCTCCCACTTCCTGCTGGTTGCAGAGGATGCCCTCGTGGTCCAAGAAGCTGCAGTGGCTTTCTGGGGCACTTGCAGAGTGGGCCCCTTCCCACTGGCTGTTGGAAGTGAGGGCCAGAATTCCTGGCAGGTGATCCCAGGCAGCAGGACTGAGGGGGCTATGAGTCCAGCTGGCTCCTGTGTGCAGCCTGCTCTATAGCCCTTGAGCTGAGCTGCAGAAGCTGGTCCTCCACAGAGGCATGGGCCTGGGCATCCAGCCTGGCGGGCTCCACCCTGATCTGGCTCAGGTCCAGAATGCGGCCTGGGCACCTCTGGTCCTGTGGGCTGTGGAGTGGGCTGGCCAGGGAGGGCAGGCCACATATGGCAGCCATGCTAGGGAAGCTGTTAGGCTGTTTCTGTTGCAGAATGTCAGGGCCCCTGGCCTGAGGCTGCCCGCAGAGCTCGCTACCTGTGTTCTGCCTTGGGGGCTGACAGTCTGGGTGGATCTGTAGGGCTGCCACCTGGGCCACACAGCCTGTCAGAGTGAGCTCTGAATCCACGGTGCTTCCCCCAAGACCTGGCCTCCAGGGACCTTGGAAACACCCCAGGTTCCCAGGAAGCCTGGGCTCCTGGGAGCCAGGCCAGGCAGAGGGGTTTGGGACCTTGTTTTTGCTGGATGTGTTGGTTGCCATGGGGGCTGCAGACCCCACAGAGGGGAACGAGCCTTCAGGGTGGCCTTGTGTCCCTTCTTCCCCAGAGACCTGCACACACTCCAGAGAGGGGTCCCTGGATGGAGAGCTGGTCCCCTGCTTGGTCCCTGCTAGGACCTCGCTCACTCCAGCAAGCGGGCCCTTGGGGCCCGAACATGCCCACAGCTCCCGTCTGCTGGGTGCTGAGCTCACTGAGGTCCTACCTGCATCTAAGGCCTGGGTCCCCCCGCCCTCCAGACCTAGGCACACCTTCTCAGAGCCAGCTCCTGGTTTCTCCACCAGTCCTCCCGGGGGCGTTGCAGGCTCCCTGGGGGCCGAGGCAGGCGGGACACGGAGCTCTGGGCTCCGGCGGAGCCAGTTGATAATGCCCATGGTGATGGCAAGCTCGGTGTCGCAGAGCTTCAGCAGGCACTCCTTGCCTCTCCAGGAGCTCTGCAAGAAGCTCTGGCTGAGTAGGTCTGGGCCTGGAGCGGCGGCCAGGTTCTCTTCTGCCCCCATGTGGAAGCTGCACATGGACAGCGGGGCTCCCAGTGCCGGCCCCGACAGACTCTCGGACACGCACAGGTCGTCATCCAGGTTCGGGCTCCCAGGGCCCTCAGTGGGGTCATAGAAGAGCTCGTAGAGGGCGTCTCCACTGTAGCTGTCCCGGGGGAAGGCGGCTGCGGGTGTGCCTGGGCTCGGGGCCTCCTTCTTGTCCTCCTCAAGGCCTGGTGAAAAGGAGTCATAGTAGCCCTCGTCGCTCGTGGACACAGATTCTGGCCGCTCGCTCTTGGGCGTGCCTGTGTCTATGGAGCTGGCTTTGGAGCCGCCGTGGGGGTCTCTGCATGGGCACAGGGGGAGCTCAGCAAGCCCAGCTGCATCTGGCCTGGGCTTGTCTGTGTCTGACCCCTGGGGGCCCCCCAGCCACGGACCTAGCAGGGCACGCTGTTGCTGCCTCACCGAGTGATTCACACGGTCCCAGAACTTGTCAAAGTCAGACATCTCGTTCTGGGCAGGTGATGCCAGTTGCTCTATGCTGCCCTGGAAGGGGCCCCTGGAAGCCATGCAGTCAGGGGCCTGGGAAGCCCGGGCAGGGCTCTCCAGGCCCTCATGCAGCTCCAGGGATGGCACTGAGCTCTCGTCTGCAAAGATCTCCCCGCAGCCGGTGAGTGAGTCAAAGCTCTTGAGTGAGGCTACATCCTCACACAGGGCCCTGCAGAGGTCAAAGGAGGAGTCGGGTAGGAACTCACTGTCAGACAGGTCCTGGCACAGGCTGTCCAGTCCCAGCCCCTCGCCCAAGGGGAAGCAAGCTGTGCCTTGCTGCCCTCCAGCCTCTGATGGGCCCTCAGGGGAGGACAAGCTCTTCCCCTTGGTTGCCAGCGAGGCCAAATTCTCAGTTTTGTTTCTGCGGATGTGGAATAGATTCCGAAAACATTTCTTGGGTCGTTTCAGGGAAATTCTCTTCCTTGGGATGCTCTTGGCCACAGCTGGTACAAAGGGCATCTGGGGCACAAAGTGGCGGTAGTCAATCATGCGCTGGCTCCTGGGGGGCCCTGGGAAGCTTGCGCTGCCCACCAGCTGCCCTGTAGCTGCAGCTGCCCTGTCAGCCCTCGGTACAGTGTCTTGAGTCTTGCTCTTCTGCACCAGTTTGAAGGTGGTCCCACAGAGAGCTGCAGGCCCCCCACTGGCGTCTGGCTGGGCCCCTTTGTCAGAGCACCTGTCATATCCTTGGGTGCTGGGACTGACCTGGGGGCCCCTCTCACTGCGGGGTCGCTGCTGCCCTCCTGGTGAGACTGCATCCTCCGTGGCTGGGGCAGTGGCTGCTGGATCTGGGGGTTTCTCATGGTCAATCTGCAGGCTAGATTTGATGAATGTCTTTCCTCTCTTCAGCTCCATGCTGCAGTGTCCCTGCTGCTGTGGAGGAAAGAAGGAAGCACTTGGTATCCAAGATGGAGGCCTGTGGTTCTAGAAGACATGTGTTTGCCTACCCCCCAACCCCCCCACTGCCCACATGGGCATGGGAGCTGAGCTCTGACATCTGAGCTTGGATCCTCCGTGGAGGCAAGAGGAGAGGGAGATGGGAACTGCCACACTCACAGGCTTGCTGCTCCAGCCTTTGTAGATAACTGATACCCAATACCCAGAGAAGTTAAGTCATGTGCTTAAAGGCAGACAACAGGAGACAAGATGAGAGCATACTGGGGTCTGGTACTCCTGTAGTCATGATCTCGCGACTCCCTTGAGCATCCTTTCAGAGCTTATCTGGGCAAGTTAGACTTCCATGTCCAGGCCTGGCACTCTACCCACAGCACCATATCCTTTGGAGGAGTATCATGGCCCTTCTGAGTGGATGAAGCAGAGGATTCAAATAAGTTTCTTCCTTCATGCAAGAGACAGGGAAACCCAAGCCTACTTCCTGGACTGGGCGCAGTGGGCCATGTGGGCGTGGGGGGAGGGAAGACACATGCATGCCCTCCAGGACTGCTGCATCTGTTTGAGGAGGGAAGACTCAGTCTACACAGAGGCCATCAGGCAAGGCACAGCCAAGCATCTCATGGTGCATGAAAGCTTGCGCAGGGAGGAGAGAGCAATGTGGCAGAAGGCGAAAGTGAGGAGACAAGCAGGAGACCAGGAACAGGCAGACGGGCCACACACAGCACACCATGAGCTGGAAGAGCAGGCAGGGGTCGTCTTTTGCGCACGTCCTAACTGATAAACAATCCAGAGAAAGGCTCTGATGCACAGTCTGAGATCAATGGGAAAGAGTGTTGGAATCGCTTATTGATGTCTGTCCTGGGTTCGGGAGTGGGAAGGTGGTAAGGGTGTTAACAACTTGATCATCCTTGCACAGCTGGGGAGTTTGGACTTACCCCCAGTCAGGGAAGAGCTATGGAAGTCTTCTGAGGGAGTGGGTAGAAGCAGTGGCATAATGAAGTTGATGGTCTGAGACCATTTATCTGCTGTCTGAGTGGAGGATGTACTAAATCAGGAGAGAGGCTGCGAACAGAGAGGACTCACAAGAGGAAGCTAAAATGGCCCGGGTATATGGAGATAAGGTCTAGATGGAAACTGCAGTTCTAAGCATGAAAAAGAGGGGTAAAGTCATAGGGTCTTTCAAAGGAAGAAACACCAGGATTTAGCAACTAAACAAAGACAAGCAGGCCAGAAGTCATAAACACTGAGGCTGGGATTCATGCCATGAGGGGGACCATAGGAGTGGGAAAAGTCCAGAAAGTGGATAGGATGAGATGTGAGCAAAGGCAAGGAAGGTACCTGTGTTAAGAGCTGGTTTGGGGGAGAGGAGCAAGGGTCTAGTTTTAAACGCATTGCCTTTGGGGTGAGTTTGGAGACCCACAAGACCACGTCAAGAGAAGACAGGGGCTTCCCTGGTGGCGCAGTTGTTGAGAGTCCGCCTGCCGATGCAGGGGACACAGGTTCGTGTCCGGGTCCGGGAAGATCCCACATGCCGCGGAGCGGCTGGGCCCGTAAGCCATGGCCGCTGGGCCTGCGTGTCCAGAGCCTGCGCTCCGCAATGGGAGAGGCCACAACAGTGAGAGGCCCGCGAACCGAAATAAAAAAAAAAGAGGGCAATGCTATATCGGTAAACAAAGGATGTCACAGTCATCAGCGATTGCAGCCCTCCAATGTGAGCCGGTGAGCCCTGAGGCAACTCAGGAAGGAAAGAATACCTGCCATATAGCAGCCATCAGACTTCAGCCACTCCCCTGATCAGCCCTCAGGAAACTCAGGATGTGAAAACACAGGATGCTGGCCCCAGGTAGCTGAGGTGCATATCAAAGGAATGATTTCAGTGAGCCCAGAATTTTGCATCTTCCCATACACAGAAAAGTGCTAAATTCCTTAACTTGGGATAGCAGGTTTTCTTTAATTAACAATAATTTTTTGACGTTCAGACTACCTGCCCTTTGTTGCAAAACTTCTATATAACCTGATTCCCCCCCTTGCCTCTTCGGAGCAGTTGTCTCAGGGTTACTTGAGATGCTGTCTCCTGGGCTTTAAGTCCTAAAAATTCCCACCAAATAAAACATAACTCAAAAAAAAAAAAAAAAAGAAGAATAAGAAAAAGGCAGTGCTGAAGAGCACCCCCTGAGATGCCCCCCCGCCCTGGTGTGCTGTTCCTCACAGGTACCCCGCTCCCAGGCTCCATAAGCCTCATTGTCTCCGCCTCTCCTTGGCAGTGAGGGACCTGCCAGTTGGTCCTCTGGCTGGTTTCTTGGGCTCTCCATAAGGAGTGCTCCATAGGGAGCATCTGGATTCACTCTCCCTCAGTCCACAGTCTGTGAGGGAGGAATAGAGCAGGTGTGCAGGCAAGTGGCTTTATTGGCCTGCATGCCTTTCATGCCCACTGCCAAAGAGGCCTCCGGGTCCCCTCCGGAGAGTCTCAGAAATGCTTCAACATGGGGTCCTGGAGGCGGGCGGAGGGGCTGTCTCCAGGCCCAGCTGGCAATGTTAAAGCCAAAGAGGATGAAAAAGGCTGGCAAAGTGGGCACTGCAGAGGCTCCCAGGGCAAGTGTCATGGCCTCCACCCCACTCCCACCTGTGGGCAATGCTTCCTCCCCTGCAGAGGAACACCTGGGGCCTTTGGCCAGAAGACAGCAGAAGGAGCAGGCACCGTGTCAGGGAAGGCTGCAGAGCCCAGGCTTGGATCTGCCTGCAGTTCAGCTCTTGGTGGCAGCATCCTGGACAGTGGGTCAGTCCCTCAATCTGTCTTTCTGCCTCCTGCCAGGTGGCATGTGCCCAAGTCTTTCCCACCCTGTACCTGCAGACCCCATTTCCACTCCCCACAATATTTTGTAGCCTAGCTCTGGTGGGTTTGGGTACACACAGCATAGCGGTTACTTTCTGGGCTCTGGAGTGGAAAGACCTGTATCTGAGTCTTTGTTCCCTCTACCTAACCAGGCAGAGTGCTTGGCCCATAACCTTATAAGGGACATACTACTGTAACCCCCATTTGATAAAGGAGAAATTAAGGTGCAAAAAAGTCAATGGATTGGCCCAGGTCACACAGGTGGTAAGTAACAGACCTAGGACTTGAACCCAAGCCTGTCTGATACTAAACATGTGCTCTTAACTGATAGACATTCTATGAACTAACAGCTCAATCTCCTCTTCGTGGGAAATCTAAACATTTAATAATAAATGTGGTTTTGTGAGAAATTTTGGAAAGCGTAATGAAAATGAAGATTAAAAGCAAAAGTATAGCTCACAAACTTAGAAAAACTAACTGAAGGTAGTATCATTTCTACGGCAAGAAAGTTTGGAGATATTCATTATGAGATTTCTGTTGCTTTTATTTTTTTTCCATGTTTTAGAAAAATATTTTTATTACTGTCCTTTGGGAAATAACTTCCACCAGGCATGATAAAGATTATTTCACTGTGTGCAAAATTTTGCAACTACAGAATGTAAGATGGTTTATTTGATACTGATCTCTATAAATAAAACTATTAGTTTCTTAATTCTTGTAATAATTACTGATTTAAAATCAAATTCTTGGAATAGTTACTGATTTAAAATCATGAGCAATTGGAAATTTCACCACACTCTAAAGTTGGAAAATCGTCTTTCAAAATAGCTGTCATTGCTTTAGGTGTTGGGACCAAATGTCACTAACATTGCCAACCCTATTTCCTGAGTCTATTTAACACTTTGCACGTTGTTAGGACAATGATAAGCACTAAGGCCCAGAACAATGAACCAGAAACTTGAAAAATACTGGAGCAATGGGGTGAAATTCAGTGTGTGTTCAGTCCATTCAGTTTCCATGTTAAAATATTTTACCAGATCCTGACTCTTTGGAAATGTGGGGTCCATATGTGACAGGGGGTGGGAACTCCCTGAGAGGTCAGAAGACCCACTGCCCAACTGGAGTTAAGCTGAGTGGCCATCTTTCATGATAATTCTCAGGGGCACAGTGGGATTTATCTGGACAGCCAGGTGCTGGCATTCTCATTTCCTGAGGGCAAAGGCTATGTGTCCAGGTTCTCAGTTGCAAAAATGCACAATCTGCCTTGTAACCCTGTGGCTAGACACCCTCTTTGTGGAGCCTGAGAGATACTCCCCCAACATTTGTCAGCCAGGAAGGCCAATTTTCAGTTTTAACAGGTCACTCCAGGTGTGGGTGAGAATGTAAAATAGGAGCAAGAGTGGACACAGAGGGCAGGTTAGGAGCCAGAGGAAGGTCCAGGGGAAAGAAAGTGGTGTCAAAGACTTCCCACGTGTGAAAGCTTACATCTCAGCACCTTACACAGAGCATGCACATGCATACGAACTTACTGCAAATTGAGCAAATGAAGTAATTCCATTTGCCGCTTTTCTACATTATGACTAACTTCAGCTCAACTGCCTAGAATTTTCTTTTCCCTTTGGTAAGGTAATTTTATGTTTTTCTTTCCTTTTTGAACATTAAAATGACCAGGTATTTCATGGAGCAAAATAAAAACCTTGGAGCTACACATGTGCAACAGAAACAGTTTGGAAATATAAAAATTTTGACGAATAGCTTTGGTATTTACCCTGCCTTCTCCTGCCCCACCCCCAATATCCAGGAAAATCACAAACATGAAACACAAAGGGGTGAATGGTGATAAGAGAGTAGGGACCTATGAGGGAAGCCCCGCCCAGGGACATCCTGGACATTGGGGTGGACAGGCTATTTATAGGGCAGTAGTTTATCTCTGTCAGAGGCTGCCTTGTCTAAGCCAAAACCTTCAGGGTGATGGAGTGAAGGCCACTTCGGGGAGGGACAGCCTCTGTGTTCTGGGATGGCTGTGGGGTGGGGAATGAAGCAGAAATAGAATCTGCAGCGTTTAGAACATCACCAATTCACCCAGCCCCCACGTTGGGGAGACAAAGGGACCTTTGGGGAGCGAAGG